GTGGTGAACAAGGAGCAGAAGGCCTGAGCCACAGGTAGAGAAACTGAGTTCCACCAAGTTCCAGATGAAAAAAAGTCCTGAGTACAAACATATTTTTTTTTTACAGGTTAGGTGTGATGGATAGAAGGAGGAGGCAGGAAACTTTTTACAAAATAGGCTTTTCTTTCGCTTTACACTAACAGTTGAGGGGCATAAAAACCTCTGTGGATGAGCCATGTGTTTACTGCCCCCCTCCCCAATCACTACTCTTTAGCCTGCAGAGACAGTGGCTGGGGGTGTACACATACTGCAATCACAATACTTTGCTTCGCAATGACAGCAAGAATTTTACACGCATGCAGTTGGGGCACACTAGTGCAAGCTTCAAGGTAATACAACGCCACCTCACTGCATGTCAAATGCTCTCTGAAGAGCAGTATGAATGTGGATCGCTGTTCAGAGACCAAAAGCAAGTGTAAATGAGCCCTAACTCACCAGAATCAACTAAAAGCTAAGATATCAGGTGGATGGACCCTTTAACAAGAATGGTGTTTGGTTTTCAGATGGGGGCTTTGTTTGCAGCACAATCTGTGCAGTGCCGGACGTTATCTCTGTTTGTATTCCTGGAAGTGCCACTGTACTGGCTGTAACAAGGTCATTTCCTTTTTGTTGATTCAGTTATACATTTTCCTCTCTGTATAGAACATTTTCTTACATCACGAGCGGGCATGTGATCGCGTGCTCCAAAATGTTAAAGGAACAGAGGGCGAGGATCTTGTATTGAGGGGTCATAACATGCAGTATACTGTGAATACATCGGAGACTATTCTCTATTAGTCTGACCCTACCACTACATCATACAAATAAACCCTAGAAGCAGGTGCAGGTACTCCTGTCTTCTGAGTCACTTGTCTCCGCCCCCTACCCACCTCTGAGCACCGTCACTTGGTTCCACCCCCTACCCACCTCCCAGTACCTCTCCTTTTAGACAATATAGAGCCAAATATAATTTTGTGGTGCTAAGTAATTTGTATGAAGTTTGTTAATGGTAACAAGAAAAGCAAAAAAACAGATCCCCCGCAGCCAGCAGCAATAGACCCCCCCCCCAGCAACAATAGATTCCTCCTGCAACAATGGGCCCCCAAAACAAAATACCACCCCAGCAACAATAGACCCCCAACAGCTACAACAGATCTCCCAGCAGACAGCATCAATATACTCGCCAGCAACAATAGAAACCAAGTCTCCTCCCTTGACAGTAAATCCCTTCCAGCAACAATTGACCTTCCCAGCAACAATAAATCACTACACAAAAATAGATGCCACTCAGTGACAATACATCCCCCAGCAATACAATGGATCCTCCAGCACACCCAACACCCCCTGCCAATACATACATTCAGTGCTGGAGGTGCCAGAACTGCGGTCCCTCGCGTTCCCACTGAAAGCCATGGTTATAAGGGAGGCAAACACAGAATTAGCAGGCAGTATGAAACAAAGGCATAGAGCATCACTGCCCTCTTCATTCGCCATTGGCTGACCTCTCTGTCATATAAAGGAATTCTATGGTCACAGCAAACACTTTAACCACTTGCCCACTGTCCTATAGCAGAAATATTGCTACAGGGTGGCATGGCTGCACGTAATCACACACACAAACACACATATATATATATATATATATATATATATATATATATATATATATGTGTGTGTGTGATTTTGCATTTCCGTGTAGGGGACCTACCTGCACTGCCATTGGCGGCTTCGGCTGTTGATCACTGGGTCCCGGACAGAGATTCCCCGCTGGCACCTGGCAGTTGCCGATGAACATTGACAGGGGAGAGGTCTGTATGTAAACAATACAGATCTCTTCTCTGTCCACTCCAGCACGCTGCTTTGCAGAGCAATACAAAGCACCATTCTTACAATGTAAAGTACACAGTAAAACAGCACACAGTTAACCCTTTGATTGCCCCAGATGTTAACGCTTTCCTGCCCAGTGTCATTAGTACAGTGTCAGTGCTTTTTATTAGCACTGATCACTGTATTAGTGTCACTGGGGATGTCAGTGACAGTCAGTTCCCCCCCAGTGTCAGAATGTCCGCCGCAGTCCCACTATAAGTCGCTGACCGCCATCATTACTAGTATAAAAAACAAACAAAAAAACAGTATATATACGGCCATTTGTAGATGCTATAACTTTCATGTAAACCAATTAATTTACAGGTATTGGGATTTTTTTAGCAAAGACATGTAGCAGAATACATTTTGGCCTAAATTTATGATGAAATTTGAATTTGTAAATGTATTTACTTATTTATTTAGCAAAAAGTCAAAAATATTATTTTTTTTCTCAAAATTGTCGGTCTTTTTTTGTTTATAGCGCAAAAAATAAAAAACTGCAGAGGCAATAAAATACCACTTAAAGAAAGCTCCATTTGTGGGAAAAAAGGACAAAGATTTAATTTGGGCGCAGCGTTGCATTACCACACAATTGTCAGTTAAAGTAACGCAGCGCCATATTGCAAAAAATGGCCTGCTCAGGAAGGGGGGTAAATCCTCAGGAGGGCAAGTGGTTAATTCTATGACATCAGTATTGTTGTTATAACAATGCAAACAATAGTTATTACTGGCAATCCAATATAATCATACTTGAAAAATCTCCTGCCATGTTGTGAGTTCTGCCAACTATCTTTTTCTACAACTTCCTGGATTCTCTCAATGCTTTGCAGCTTCTCCTCTACTGTTTACTTTCAATTTCTAAGGACTATATATCCCATGGTACCTTGATTCCTGTACTGACTCCGATTCATGAAACTCCTCCCCTCACACCACTAGTTCAGAAGGCAGACTCTGTGAAATGTGTGACACAGCAGTGCCTACTCACAGGGCTGACTACGTGTCACAGAATTCAAGGAAGTGATGCTGTGTGCACACTAGTGTTTTTATGAGCTCAAAAAAATACTAGAAAAAAACGCTGGATGAAAAATGCTGATAATAGCATTTTTATGCCAGCTGCTTGTAGTGTTTATGAATGTTTAGGAGCGTTAGGGTTTTATTAGCGTTTTGTACATTACATTAAGAAACAAAAACTCAAACAAAGCTGTTGGAATAATTTAGAAGCGTTTAGGAGCGTTCAGCGTTTTTTTCTGCTGGGAAAATGCTGCCAAAAACTGTACAAAACCAATTTTTTTTCTGCTCCTAAATGCTGAAGCTTGGAAATCAATTATAACATAATATAACATGAACACATAGCATAGTACTATTTAGCTTCTGGGAGCTTATAAAAATGCTAGTGTGCATGGAGCCAATGTGTAGGGATCTTTATAAAGTATTTATTTCAGGTACTTATATAGCGCTGTCAATTTACACAGCGCTTTACATATATATTGTGCATTCACATCAGTCCCTAACCCTCAAGGGGCGTACAATCTAAGGTCCCTAGCTTACATTCATATATTAGGGCCAATTTAGACAGGAGCCAATTCACCTACCAGCATGTCTTTGGAGTGTGTGAGGAAACTGGAGTACCTGGAGTAAACCCATGCAGGCACAGGGAGAACATGCAAACTCCAGGCAGGTAGTCCTGTGGTTGGGATTTGAACCAACAACCCTAGTACTGCCAGGTGGAAGCGATAACCATTTAGCCACTGTGCTGCCCCAGTAAAGTAAGTTTACAAATGTCATGATCATTAGAAGTAATTGAAAAACAACGTGGAAATGAATTCTTGATTTTATTTTTTGACCATAGATATGCTTACACTACGATTACTGAATGATAATGCCACTGAACTGAACTTTCCCTTCTTGCTCCCGCTATAAGCTATCACCCGCTATTGGCTGTCCTCTGGGTCACCCATCAGTGATAGGCTTCTAGTCTTAAATTCTAACGTCCCCCTTCTTCTCCTTTGCCTATGTTACACTTTATCATTAATAGAAGCTGTCCCATCAGTGATTAGACATGTGCATTTCATTACGATTTGTGTTTCGGCCGAAAATTTAATTTTCGGAGATTTGGATGTATACAAATCTCTGAATCAACATAGTAACGAATGAAATTAGCGAATGCATTTGTTTCATTCAGATAACATCACATGATTTGATGATAGTTTGGGCCCATGGGGAAATGAATAAAATTTTCACATTTGTTCAATAATTCAGATTCAGACAACAAACGGACCTGAATTTTGTTCCATTCATTAATTCAGATGCACATGACGCCAGACAATATTGTCCAATCAGCTCATGCCATTGCCCTTTGTGGATTGGGCTAGTGTTCAAAAATATTAAATCCTTCCGATTCAAATCTGTTCCGATTCTATAAAATATAAATAACGACTGTGGTCCCAACTGCCTTGAGATCATTCACAAGCTACTGCCGTGTTAGGTTTGGGCTGATCCCTCACTTTTCTCATGATCATCCTTACCCCATGAGGAAAAATCTTGCATGGAGTTCCAGACTGAGGGCGATTGATGGTTATTTTGTATTTCTCCCATTTGCGAATAATCGCTCCAATAGTTGTCTTCTTGCTGAGTCTTGTAGCCCATTCCTGCCTTGTGCAGGTCTACAGTCTTGTCACTGATGTCCTTTGACAGCTCTTTGGTCTTGCCCATGATGGTGAGGTTTGACTGGAAGAAAGAGATTCTGTGGACAGGTGTCTTTTATACAAATATTGAGTTGCTGTTAGGAACACCTTCTTGACGGGACTAATCTGTGTACCACATGAGCACATAGCCAGTCTGTGGGAGCCAGAATTGTTGGTTGGTAGGGGATCAAATACTTACTTTACTCACTGAACTGCAACTCAATTTAGAACATTTGTATCATGTGTTTTTTCTGGATTTTTGGTTGATATTTCATCTCTATCATTTAAAATACACCTATGATAAAAAACTATGGACCCTTCATCTCTTTGTAAGTGGGCAAGCTTACAAAATCTGCAGGGAATCAAATAATTATTTTGCCCACTGTAGATGGCATAGCATGTAATAAACATAATATCTTTTCTGTGTTTCAGGCATCGGAAATCACCATTGAACTGACCACCTCACCCAAAGAAAAGCCTGACCCAAGCACTCTGGTCTTTGGCTCAGAATTTACTGATCACATGTTCATTGTTGAATGGTCAGTGAAGAATGGATGGGAGAAACCAGTCATCAAGCCTTTCCAGAACATTCCCATCCACCCTGCCTGCTCCGCACTTCACTATGCCATCCAGGTGAGCAGGAAACCAACAGCGGCCTCTCTCAGCATCTCTGCAGAGTCAGTGGCCATTTTGTTGGGTACAGCTATCCCGTGTACATATATATATATATATATATATATATATATAAAAGCAAATATGTTCAGAATCAATACTCCGACACACTGCCACATTCTAAGCATGATCATTTAGTATTACAGCTGAACTCTAGACAGATCTAAAAGACACAAATTAATGCAGCCCTGTATTCAATAATATATCAATACGTGTATTTTTTAAATGCAAGCAGTGTAAATACTCGAATATGACCTGGTATCAGATAGGTTCAGCCACTTGCAGTCATGTGCAGCAGAGCTCAGACTATTGAATGGGTGGGGGGTGAGGTAGCTCAAGGAACCAATCAGTTCATGCACTGGCAAGGAATGTGCTGATAGCAGGAGAGAGCAAAGTGACAGACTGAGGGCATCTTGTGTTGGAAAAGAAGTACTGCAAGAGAGCCCTGGACTGAAAGTGAATTTTGCAACAAGAGTTGTATTTTTATTTTACCATTAAATAGGTGAATTTTTATCTTGTTAATTTTAGTCAGAGTTCCGCATTAAAGAACAAATCCGGGCAAAAATGTGATTTTCCCCATGCAGTGCACTGCATGGGTTAAATTCTCGTTTTTATTTAGGGGATCATAAAGCTGAGGTGTAGTTATCTAATCCGCAAATCCTCCAAGCGCAAGACTGGTCCCTCTCTTGCACACTAGCAGTCTTATGAATGGGCTGTTTCTGACGTCATCCCATCATAGACTGGCTCAGGATGTGAGGACAGCAGGAACAGTCTACTACTGGACGTGGGGGAGTGCGGTTTTCCAGAGGATCGGAGGACGGGGCAAGTATAGCTTTTCCCTGAGCCCCTTGACAAAAACAAGCAGTTAACCCATGCAATGCGGGCAAAGCCCTACTGCATGGGAGAATAAAAAAATAACTGGAGTTCTGCTTTAAGGGGCCTAATGTGTGCCACACCACCATCCTGACCCTCTGACACTAAACAGGGTGGGTGGATTCCCGAAACTACACCGAATTCTGACTCTCCACCTGCAGCTCACAGCAGAAATCCTGATCTCCCACAGCAAGCGGTGCTTTTCTCTTTTTGATCCAATGAATTATAGAGTGGAAAAGAAGGTAAAGTCAGGAAACCAACATTTTCACAAGCAGCTTAGAGTCGGAGAACCCCTTTACAATCCTTGAATCTGGTGCAGTTTTATCCTATTTAGATCTTGGTTATTTTTAGCCATAAGCCTCTGCTGCAGCAGCCGGTGTGGTGATATTAACCCTCGTGATGGGGCTTTCACAGCGGGAGGATTGTTACCCTTCGCTGCATGTTTTGTATCAGCATTGTTGGCCCGTATGAGGTCAGGCTCAGGTTGCTGTTTATAACTACAGGGAGTTGATGATGTACATCTACCAGCTGCCCCTGCTTTAGAAGCCAATCTCTTTGTCCCTCGTTCTTCCACAGTTGTTGCTCACTTGGGTGCGATCGAAAGCTCTACACAACTTACGAGCAAAACTTTCTTAGTAATTTTCGATAGAGTATGGCGGGATAAGGGAGTGATGACCACTTGTACTAGTCTTTACCAGGGATTTGACAGGTGACTATGCAGGAGCACAACTTGCAGACGGTAATGTCACTCTGTCCTGGACAAGGACATTGATTGTAGGATCACCCGGGATTATTTTATTGAAAGCTGAAGATTCAAAGCATTAAAGCTTCTATGTGATTTTAGAGATTAGGTTACGTCTCCTTAAAGTCAAAGGATTTTATTTTAAATTCTTCTTTTGGTACATTGTACCTCATATAGTTAAAGCTGACATTTTATTAGATTATATGTTGCCTTACCTGCCCCCCCCCCCCCCCCCCTTATCTGACATGCTGCAGTTTCTAATGCACATTTTGAGAAGCTCACAGTGTGCAGAGTAAGCAATTTCAGTGCAGGAGAGGAGCCAGTACAACTATTTTAAGCAGAATTAAAGGCAGTTAATACCTACCTTTCCTCCACTGGGCCCATTCTTCACTGGTGACAACCTCTTCTCCTGTGTGCTGGTTTTCGTCCAGTTTCATTGGCCAGTATGAGATGACATATGTCCAGCGCAGGAGGCTGTCATTCTGGCACACAGGGATCAGGCCAGCTGCTGTAAGCTGAGCCATGAATGTGCATCTCAGTTTACATGCTGGGGGATGCTGCAAACAGGCAAGTGTATTTTATTGCAGAAGAGGCATTGTATGTCAAAGATCATGCCTGCTCACAGCAAACAACTGTGGAACGTCAGTTCCACTTTAAAGCGGAGCTAAACCCTCCTATCCTTTACAGCCAAGGAAGCTGCCATCTTGGCCTCTGTTTGATCTTCAATTGCCATGATGCTGCCCATGTGATCAGACATTTGATGGTTTGACAGTTTGATTGAGAGCACAAGCAGATGTGACAGTTACATTCCAGGCACATGCCAGGAATGATAACTGTTTTTTTTAAACTGTTAGAGCTGATTCACACATGTGCGGTGCGGATTGAAGCTCAGGTTTCACAGCTAATTGATACAGTAGTTGTTCACAGGTTCACATCAGGTTTATGTCTGGTTCAGGACAGGATTAGCTCAGGATCTTATCTTGTTCACACATATGCGGTTTAGAAATGGTTCCCATAGAAGTTGATAGCCTGTAATCTGAACCTGAAGGGACTGCACTGCTCAGAAATCGGACATGACTCTTTTTAAAACCACACTGAATCTGCTCTCAATTCGCAGCACCAGTGCACCAGACACATGTGAACAAGCACCATAGGAAGCAATTTTTTTGCATGTCATGTGGAGTGGATGCGGTTCAAACCACATCCAATCCGTATATATGTGATCGGGCACTAAGGCTACTAACATTGCTCCATTGCGTTGTATTTTTGATGCGTATGTATGCATTGCATTTTCCTCCCATATCTCTGGACTGGACAAAGCACTTCCCACAGGTGTGTTGTGTTTTTGATGCGTTTTTGCTGTGTTTTCTATTCATTTCAATAGAGAGGTGCATTTTTGGTGCGTTTTTTTTTTTTTTTTTTTTAACTGACCAAACATGGTCGAAAAATGCAGCAAGCAGAATTTTTAAAAATGTAACTGAAATGCAACGAACCGGTGTGAAGAGTTCAGGGCAGGGCTGGATCTAGCTTGTCTGATTTGGGGGTGCAGTGAAAAATGTTGGGGGAGGATGCAAGGTCAACAAGAGTCAGTAGATCAGTGCACAGGGGGTCAGCAGGGCAGAGGATAGGGTCAGCAGTTTGTACAGGGCATAGTAAAGGGGTTAGCAGTGCAGGGTACAGGGGTTAGCATGGTGGAAGACAGTGGTCAGCAGAGATGAGAATAGGGTCACTGCTGGCAGGGCACTTAAGAGATCTCCTCCTCCTCCCCACAGAGCACATAGCTAAGATCGGCATCCCTCCACACAATGTGTTGCTGGCTACTGCAGCTGCCAATCCAATCAGGAAATTTCATGGGTCAGAACTTCAACATAGCAGCTAGTTACACATTGCGCAGATTGATGCTGTGTCTGTTAGGGAATATGATCTCAGCTATGAGTTATGTGGGGAGGAGAAGATCTGTTGAGTGCCGTGTGGGCAGTGCCGAGACAAGGTCATCCAGCATTCAAGGTGAAGGTGACAAACTGTGCCACCACCCTCCACCCCACCCCCCCCAAAAAAAAATTAGCACTAATCAACACACTCACTCCCTAAGCATACATTCCCTCTGCAAGCCCAAATTCTAGCCAACCAAAAATGCAAAATTTCCCCATCCTCAGTCCAAATCCTCCTCCCAGCACAAATCTTTGCCCCCCAATCCCACCTTCCAGCTCAAATCCCCCCCAATTCCCCACAAATCTTCCATGCCCAAAAAAATCAATCTCTCCCCCCTTCTTCTGGTACAAATTATCTCCCCCCCAGTACAAATCCCCCCAAATCTCCATTTCTAGTGTAATTCCTCTCCCAAATCTTCCCTCCTAGTACAAATGTTCCCCCCTAAACCTCCCTCCAAGCACAAATGCTCACCCAAATCCCCCCTTCTAGTTAAAATCCCCCCTACTAGTAAAGATCCCCCCCAAATCTTCACCCTTCCCAGCACAAATCCCCACCCCCACACAAATCCCCCCAATCTCCCCCTTCTAGCACTATTCTTCCCCAGTTCCCCCCTCCTAGCACTAATCCTCCCCCTGAATTTCCCCCTCCTAACACAAATTCCCCCCCCCCAACACAAATCCTTCCCAATTCTGACTCCTAACACATCCCTCCCAATTACCCTTCCCAGCACAAACAGCCCCCCTACCACCCCTCCTCCACAAGCTCCCCCTCCCCCCAATCTTACATGTGTGAACTACTGGAGTAGTGAGTAAATGCAGGCTCTCTGTGATCTCCCTCCTCCTGTCATAACAGCGCTCCTCCATACAGAAGGTTACATAGGATCGCTCTTAGATCCAACCGTACATGGCTTGATTATCCGCCCCCTACCCACATTTCCAGGAGTTGAGTGGTCTTTGAAGGAGATGGGGGTGGGTAATCAAGCTGTGTACTGCAGGATCTAAGAGCGATCCTATGTAACCTTCTGTATGGGGGAGTGCTGTTATGGCAGAGGGAGAACGCAGAGAAGCCTGTACCTCCTCTCCACTCTCTCCTCTCTGCCGCTGTCACTTTAGTTCACTGTAGCTGGCCCTGAGTGCGGGGATGGGGGGGAAGCTCAGTGGTCATAGCCACAATGTACATGGGTGGGCGCCTGGCTTGGGGAGGCACAACTGAAATCTGAGGGGCACAGCCCACCCTAGTGGGCCCCTTGATCCCACCATGGTTCAAGGCCTTTTACATGGGTGGACTCCCCCAGCGTATCTGCCTGCTCAACTGTCTGCTGATGTCTGCTGATCCCCGCTGAACAGGCAGATGGCAGGTCAGGCTTAAGCCTAGTACACACAATCAGAAAATCGTACGAAAAATTCCTCTTTCTAAGTGATTGTACGATAATCTGACTTTCGGCCAAAATTATTTGAAGGGACAAGCATGAAAAGGTTTCTCATACTATACCAGATTGTATGATTTTCATTTAATCAGTACAGTTTTTTCATCCAAAAATACAATACATCACTTCCAAACTTTCTTTCTAACGTACAAGAATTTTTGTAATGTCCATTGACCCTCCCGTTTCACATCTATGCAGCTGTGTGGACCGCGTTTTGCACGGGCACAAGAGCCTATTCATTTGAATGGACTCCCATGCCGTGACATGCAGGGAAAGAAGTCCCTGCACTTCTTCCAAAAATGCAGCCCACACAGGAACCTCAGTTGCCAGTACGGTTGCGTTTTCCAGTGTGGGCGGCATGCCATTAGAACTAATGACCCCAGCCCGTGGGTCCGCATTTCTCTGTGTGGGTGGTGCGGCTGCACGGATTTTCGTGCGGATCCGCAGCGGCACCACCTGCATAGATGTGAACCGGGGGTTACATCTGCCTCTGCATAGAGGGCAATGGATGGTCTGATCAGCTTTGCTTAAAAAACAGACAGACGGACCCAGTTGGGCTGCCCCTGTGAAAGGGGCCTTCTATAGGCTTTCAAGCAATGCATTTTTCATGCATTATTCTTGCACTGTTTTTTAACTGAGCAACAAAACAAAAACTGCTCAATGTGGAGGCAGCCTAAAGTGATGGGTTTTGTTCCACTAAGGCTGAAGGAAAGGTTGGAGTTCAGCTTTAATTCAATGTAATATCTTTTATGTACATTGTATCCCAGTCACTCATTGTATGACATTGTAATAATTTGTATCTTTTCTCCTTCAGCTGTTTGAAGGACTGAAGGCTTACCGTGGTGTGGATGGTAAGATTCGATTGTTTCGGCCACAGATGAACATGGATCGAATGTCGCGTTCAGCTTTCAGAATGACTCTGCCGGTATGTGAGAATAATTGCAGCCTGAACACGTTTTATAATATGGACCTATTGCATTACATTGCAGTCCAGGACTTTCCCAGAATTAGCTGGCAGCACATTAGAACACCTTATGAACCAGAAAACCGATCAGACTTGTTACTGACATTTGTGTGACTGTAAAGACTTTCTGAAAATGTAAAATATGTCATTCGGTATCTTTCCTTATTGTATACTGAGTGCTGCCTATTACGTTGTTATAACCCCTGAAGGTCCTCAAGTAGCAGATCTTCATTCTGGTACAGTAATTCAGCCTCAGGGCTTATTGTCACTGTGGTTTTTCTGGTGAGTTGTACTTGCTGGGCTGCCAGATTCTGACCCCAAATGAAGTTTGAGGGAGACATTAAAGCCACAGGAGGGACATTAATTTCTGGGGTATAGATTTTGTTTACTGCACTTGTGTGCAACCAAAAGAGTGGGCCTGGGAATATACACATCCACACACAATGTATACTTGCTGAGACCAGGATGGTACTAGCAGTCATAGTCCCAGTGTAGAGAGCTGACTTGCTATTGGGCAAGAAATTTCTACTGTCTTCTGACCAGAATGGGACAGTAGGAACCCCTCATAATAGATGCAGTAGGTGTACATACCTGGGGACTCAGTGTAGGGATGGTGGGAACCCCTTATAATGGGCACAGAACTAGGAATTCAGCACAAGGACCTTCATATTGAGTACAGCAGGTGTACAGACCTGAGAACTCCATGCATGGATAGTGGGAACCCCTCGTAATGGACACAACAAGTGTATGGACCTGAGAACTCAGTGTAGAGATGATGGAAACTCCTCATAGTGGGCACAGCAGGTATACAGACCTGGGAACTAAGTTTAGGGATGGTGGTAGCCCCTATTAATGGCCACAGCAGGTGTACAGACCTGGGAACTCAGTGCATGGATAGTGGGAACCCCTCATAATAGGCACAGCAGGTGTACATACCTGGGAACTCATTTCAGAGATGGTGGGAACCTCTTAAAATGGGCACAGCAGGTGTACGGACCTGGGAACTCAGTGTAGGGATGGTGGGAACTCCTCATAATGGGCACAGCAGGTGTACGGACCTGGGAACTCAGTGTAGGGATGGCAGGAACCCTTTATAATGGGAACAGCAGACATAGGAATTCAGCTCAAGGACCTTGAGTACAGCAAGTGTGCAGAGCTGAAAATCAGCACAGGGATGGTGGGAACACCTTGTAATGGGCGCCATGGGTATGTAGACCTGGGAAACCCCTCAAAGTGTTCACAGTAGGCATGCAAACCCAGGAAATCAGCACAGGGATGGTGGGAACCCCTCATAATAGACACAGCATGTGTGTAGAGCCAGAAATTCATCAACTGAATTTATCAATAGAGACCACAAGAGATAGAAGACCTTCAAGTAGTTTGATTCTTTAGCATCTAACAAACTCTGAAATCTCAGTTTTAGGAGGGCCAACTCTTTAAATATATTAAAACTTCTTGAAACTTCTACGTGAATAATAATAAATAATCTGTCATATAATTTATGTTCAGTTGTCCTTTATCAAGGATTTCAGATTGTAGTGTTTGTCCATGGGATTGCTGACAGGAAGTAAGCCGTGCGCAGGAAAATATCTTCCTTCCCAAAGAACTTTCTCTTGAATTCAATTTGTGTTTTCAGCCTTTCGATAAGAAGGAACTTCTGGAGTGCATCAAGAAATTGATCAACGTGGAGAGAGAATGGGTGCCAAAGTCCACCGATGCCAGTCTGTACATCCGCCCCATCTTCATTAGCACTGAGGTGAGACCCCAATCTGATTGGCAGCCATGGTCAGTGTATGGCCAGACTGTACAGGATCACCGCTGAACAATCAGAGCATTGCATGACTGATAACGATTGATTGTGGGGCCTCTGAGATCAACTTCATTGTTTTTTTTAAAAAAAAACATTTGTTACTTTTTTCCATTAAAACTATTTTATATTTACTAGCAATTGATCAGTACATTTGACAGGAGCATTTGAAAAATGGTTTTGATACAGTTAACCCCAACAATCAGATTTCAGTTAACTGCACTCGGATAAATGAAAGTTTCTCTTTGGATAAAACTTATGTATTTTGTGGATAGAGCAATGCTTCGATCCCCTGTCAGTGTCCTGCTGGGGAGATTTCCCTTTACATCCTGTCCCAGAGACACAAAAGGAAAGGAGGCAAAACTCTCCATAGTTGGGGGGAAATCCCTTCTTAGATAGTTGCCCCTGGAACATGTGTCCTCATTGGAAGATTTTCTCTAACCTCCTGCTGTGCTAACATCTGTAATATTTTAATACTTTGATATTGGTTGTAAGGACAAACAGAGAGGGAGAATCCCACCTGTGGGGATACAGACAGCAATAAAAAATGACGAATTCTTCCATACCCTATTCAGATCTATTTAAAGAAAAGTTTTGGTTAGAAATGCACTTTAGAGCTAAAGCTGATTCTGTCTATATTTTGTCTAACCTGGTCCTCCCTCATCAAACCAGATAATAATTTTTTTAACCACCTCCTGCCCGCCATATAGTCCAATGACGGCGCAAGGTGGTTCTCTTGTTCTGGGAGGACGTCATATGACGTCCTCCCATTCTCACCGCGCATGCGCGGCTCAGGGAGCGCGCAGCGCAACGATCAGCGGTGCGCTGTGTCCCTCGGACACAGCGGATCACCGATCACGGAAAGAGCTGAAGATGTTGGCTCGGTCATATGATCGGCTGTGTCCAATCACAGCTGATCACATGTAAACAGTGAAATGCCGCTTATCGGCATTTCTCTCCCCACGAGCTGTCACGCTGACAGCTCGTGAGGAGAGGAGAGCCGGTAATGGGCTTTCCGCGGAGGGGACATGTACACTGGTCATCAGGGCACTGATGATCAGTGTGCCCTGATGATCAGTGTAGCCCAGCAGTGTCACCTGTCAGTGTCCATCAGTGCCTTGTGTCAGTGCTCATCAGTGCCTCGTGCCAGTGCCCATCAGTGCCACATCAATGCCACATATCAGTGCCTACCAGTACACATCAGTGCCCATCTGAGCTGCCTTTCAGTGCCACCTATCAGTGCCGCCTATCAGTGCCGGCTAACAGTGCCATATATCAGTGCCATGTATCAGTGCTGCCTTTCAGTGCCCATCAGTGATTCCTGTCAATGCCCACCAGTGCCACCTACCAGTGCCTCCTCATCAGTGCCACCTATCAGTGCAGCCTATCAGTGCCCACCACTGCAGCCTCATTAGCACACATCAGTGAAGGAGAAAAATCACTTATTTACAAAATTTTATAACAAAAACTAAGAAAATAATTTTTTTTCCAAACTTTTCTGTGGTTTTTCTTTTTTTAAGAAAAAGTAAAAACCCCAGAGGTGATTAAATACACACACCAAAAGAAAGCTCTATCTGTTTCAAAAAAATGATAAACATTTCATATGGGTACAGTGTTGTATGACCGCGCAATTGTCATTCAAAGTGCGACGGGTGAAAGCTGGAAATTGGCCTGAGCAGGAAGGGGGTATAAGTGCCCTGTAGGCAAGCGGTTAAATAAAACCTTTCCATTTTCATTACATACTGTACCTTATTTAGATTCAGTATTGTCATCACAGGGTCTCTGTGCTTTTCTAAGCATCACAGGCAGATCATGTCTGGTGGGAGTAATGGATAGGGTGTTGTACATGGCTTTCTGACAACATCACAGCACCCTTCCTCAGTACTCCTCTTGGGAGGAGTTATGCAAATAACAAAATGCCTTAATGGGGGAATCTCAGTCTGGAGGAGTGGGCATTCTTAGGTAGGCTGTATTTGCATGTACAGTTCTGTTCAAAATAATAGCAGTGTGTTGAAAAAAGTGAATAAAGCTCAAAATCCTTCTAATAGCTTTTATTTCCATACACACAAATGCATTGGGAACACTACACATTCTATTCCAAATCAAAACATGAAGAAAAATATATCAAATTTGTGTTGTTCCTCTAAAAAAAAATTGAAGTGAATATTAGACTGTTCAAAAAAATAGCAGTGTTTGTATTCTTCTTTACAAACTCAAACATTCACTATATAAACTGAAAAATGTTTTGAAGATTTTGCTTTCCTTTGAATCACTTAATATTTGGTTGTAGTCGCACTGTTTCTGAGAACTGCTGTACATCTGTGTTGCATGGAGTTAACCAACTTCTGGTACCTGTGAACAGGTATTCCAGCCCAGGATGATTGGACTACATTCCATAGTTCTTCTCTATTTCTTGGTTTTTGCCTCAGAAACTGCATTTTTGATGTCACCCCATAAGTTTTCTATTGGATTAAGATCCGGGGATTGGGCTGGCCACTCCATAACACAATCTTGTTGGTCTGGAACCAAGATGTTGCACGTTTACTGGTGTGTTTGGGGTCGTTGTCTTGTTGGAACACCCATTTCAAGGGCATTTCCTCTTCAGCATAAGGCAGCATGACCTCTTCAAGTATTCTGATGTATTCAAACTGATCCATGATCCCTGGTAAATGTGATAAATAGGCCCAACACTGTAGTATGAGAAACATCCCCATATCATGATGCTTGCGCAACCATGCTTCACTGTCTTCACAGTGTACTGTGGCTTGAATTCAGTGTTTGGGGGTCATCTGACAAACTGTCTCCGGCCACTAGACCCAAAAAGAACAATCTTACTTTCATCAGTCCACAAAATGTTGCGCCATTTCTCTTTAGGCCAGTCAATGTGCTCTTTGGCAAATTGTAACCTCTTCAGCACATCTTTTTTTCAACAGTGGGACTTTGCGGGGGCTTCTTGCAGATAGCTTGGCTACACATAGGCGTCTTCTAATTGTAACAGTACTCACAGGTAACTTTAGACCTTCTTTGATCTTCCTGGAGCTGATTGTTGGCTGAGTCCTTGCCATTTTGGCTATTCTTCTATCCATTCGAATGGTAGTTTTTCGCTTTCTTCCACGTCTTTCAATTTTTGGTTGCCATTTTAAAGCATTTGCGATCATTTAGCTGAGCAGCCTATCATTTTCTGCACTTCTTTATATGTTTTCCCCTCTCCAATCAACTTTTTAATCAAGGTACGCTGTTCTTCTGAACAGTGTCTGGAACGACCCATTTCCCTCAGAATTTCAGAGAGAAGTGCACTGTAACCAGCATGCACAACATTTGCTGCCTTCCTTCCTTAAATAAGGGCAATCATTGCCACCTGTTTTTCAAAGAATGAATGACCTCACTAATAGAACTCCACACTGCTATTATTTTGAACATGCCCCTTTCAAATAGTGATTCAATTACACAGAATCCACAGCATGCATCTCATGACTGTTGGGTGTGTTGGATTTCTATTACTCTACTACACCTGCTAGTAAGTTATTTGCCATGTAGAAATATCATTTCTACCAAAAACAGTGATTGATCCGGTTAGTGATGTCTGACTGCTATTATTTTGAACACAAATGTAGATTGCCCTGGGCAATGTCCACATAGGATGTTGATCCTGTTGATTTTGAAAGAGCTGAAATTCAGTGAATTAAATGGTTGGGCTATGGACAATCAGGCTGAGGAAAAAAATGGTTAGATGATGCTGGAAGTCCTGCAGCCAGGAAATGAGGCAGGCTGCACAACTGTGCAAGTCAGAAGGGAAGGCTGGAGAGCAGATTTAATAGATTAAATATATAAACTCTGATTGTTGATCTGGTCTTGGCTTCTGTATATGTCAGCATGTTTCCATCATTTCAGGTCAAATCAGAGTTTTTCTTATGTTTGTAGCCCTCTCTAGGTGTGAAGAGACCGTCCAAGGCTGCGCTCTATGTCATCCTCAGCCCGGTCGGGGCTTATTTCCAAAGTGGAGCTTTTAATCCAGTGTCACTGTGGGCCAATCCAAAGTACGTCCGCTCCTGGAAGGGAGGCACCGGAGACAGAAAGGTTGGAGGGTGCGTGTTTGTTTAGAAAATATTGTAGCTGCTATTCTAAATTGTCAGAATAAACTCAATACACCATATCTTTGCCTGGAATTGGCCAGATACTTTATAAAGACTGATGACAAACCATATGATCCGCGTTTTTATGTCCCCAACAATATATAAATTTTGCAATAAGAATATATAAAATTGACCTGTTCCCATATAAAACTATGTGCAAAGTTTAATTAAATTACAAACTATTGCATACATATCCATAAAATGCGTGACACAAATAATGTCTGATTCCACCATAAACGATGTGCAAAAATATTAAAAATATTTAAACATAACTTATAATGCAACAAATGTCCATAATTAGTGTTCCAAAACAAAGTGCTCTGTGCCCAATGTTCGTGTCCAGACTGCGCAAGACAAAAAAGACACTGGGAAAAAAATGCTCTTCCTCTGCGCCCCAAAAGAGAACACACCACACTCACCAAAAGTATATGACCTCTCTTCTTAAAGAAGGTCAGTCGCGTATGTAATAACTGGTGTATCAATGGGAGAGAGTAATCCCACCAAACACTTGAGAATAACTTCATATCATGGCACCCATCCTGTGAATTTAACAGACTCTGCATAAAACCCCCTCACAGAGGGAAAGAGAGGAACCTCTCATAATGTAGCAAATTCTATTTGTTATAAAAATTGCACTTACATGAGCTTATATCATTCTGGCATATACAGTTTCTATGATGGAAACCAGGTGCGCTCCACCAGCATTCCACTTACCAGGAGTGATGTATCACAGATGACCTGTCCTACATGTTTCGTCAGCAACATCTGACTTCATCAGGGGTCTAATCATGTCTAATGGCCTGGAATGGTCTAATTTTAAAGCCTAACTCCAGACAGAACCATTTGTTTTACAGTGGTCATACACTTGTACATTTTAGAACAAATGTTCATACGAATATATGTATCAAAATTTGTACAAAATTTCTCAGTGCATTCGATTTGATGACTTGGAAATGTTCGAAAATACTTCAAAATTTAGTTTTCTTTTAACAAGTGAATGTCATTTTTTTTTTTTTAACAAAAACCACAATCACAGTTAGAAATTTGTTTGAGAAAAAACTTCCATCCTGCCCTTCGAATATTCTTATCACTGTGGTAGAAAACAAACGGATGTTCTTCAAACTAACAATTTCAGACAAAATTCTACTAGTGGATGAGCAGCTTTAGTTTTCATTATACTTGAGAAAAGGGAATACTTCTTTGTTGCAGTCTGTATCCTCACTGCAGAAAGTCTAATTGTTAAAGAAAAAAGAGTTCAAATAAAAATCTGACAGGTAATCTTTCTTCCCCATCTGTCAAAATTATTCGAAAGGTTTATTTTTTTTTTCTAACAAACTTGTCATGCTTACCTGTTCTTTTCAATGGTTTTGCACAGAGCAGCCCCGATCCTCCTCTTCTGGGATCCCCCGCTGGCTGTCTTGGCTCTTCCCCCTTCTCTGAGTACCCTCATACCAAGCCGTTTGCTATGGGGGCACTCATGTGGGCTCAATCCTGAACCATGCTGTGGCATCTATTGACATACACAGTGTGGCTCAGCCCTGCCCACTGCTCTCTGCTCACAGAAAATGATTGGCAGCCAATGGCTCTCTGCTGCTGAGCCTCCTGTGAGAGAGGGGAGAGAAGAGTAGCACTGCTGCAAACATGCACATCCCCCCATCGAGATGGGACTCGGGTAATTATTTAAGGTGGCCTGGGGGGTTCTGACAAGGAAAGGTTGTGTGTTTTTTTTTTTTTTTTCTTTTTTTTACCTTTAAAGTGGTTTTAAATCTCTGACGTGAAACATGAACAAAGCATATTCCTCTGTAGTGTGTACTTGTCTCAGTTCAGAGCATTAAGTGTAATTTCTGTCGGCTGCCTCATTCTTCTGCTATCTACATGAGTAACATCTGACAAGTTTTCCTGACACCAAGAGAAAAAAGGTGATAGGGGAGGGAGCTCCAGCACGCAGCCTGCGACTGATCGTCTCAGCTGTGTTCCTGTGTGTTGTGTGAAGGGAGTGTGTCCTTTCCATCCAATCAGAGCTCTCCTCACTGACTGTAACTTCATCTCCCCGCCCCCCAGATTTTCAGAGCTGAAAAATCCTGTGTAAATTCTGCACTTTGAAAAGATGTAGAGGACAGATGGCTATAGAAATACAGGTACAACTTATATAGGGGGATTTGTTCCATCTCTGTGTATCACCTGAGGCCAGTCACTGTACTGGGTATATGTAAGGGTTTACAACCACTTTAATGCAGAGAATGTATTTAACTTTACAACCACATAGAAATATACATAGTTGGGATTCAGTTAAGCATATTGGGTCCTGCAGAAAAGATGATTTGCACCCCTGATCTGATCGTTCCTGGAAGCGTTTTGTGCACATGGGGGGGTGGGGGGAGGTTATACAGTACAGAATGATTGCTCTGAGACGCATGAAAGAACTCTGCAAGACCTGCTTAATATAAAAAGGGGAAAATGATATCAACTATTAGACTTTTGGTTAGTTTCTGTGTTTCCGTGTCAGCATTTGCAGTTTACTGACTGATCTGGAGCTGCACTTTAAAGATGTGCATTATCTGTTTTGTCCTCAGGAATTATGGAAACGCCCTGTTTGCGCAGTATGAGGCTCAGGATGCCGGCTGTCAGCAGGTGCTCTGGCTATATGGGGAGGATGAGCAGATCACAGAAGTTGGGACAATGAACCTTTTCCTGTACTGGACAAATGAAAATGGAGGTAGGTTATTTATTTCTGTAAAGGAAACTTGAACAGAAGCTTTCAATGCTCAGCTATTCTGGAAATACTGTTCGCCTGGAAGTCTCTTCTAAAGCTGAACTGCAGGCAAATATAAAAGGTACACAATAATGCAGCTCTGTATTCACTGATAGATCAATCAGTTGTGTTGCAGTGCAAAAAATAGACTGATAGGAGGAGTAAGTAGAGAGTTGTCCTCATCACTATGCTGCTTCTCCTTCATTGTCCACTCACAGGCTTAGGGTGGATCCATGCAACTGCTGAATGGGCAATGTAAATACAGCAAATTTTCTGATTCTGGTGTCAGATGGGAGAAGAACAATAGAACTGATTCTTTATTTCTTCTTAAAAGTACCTTAGGTATTCTATCCATCATCTTGCATGAGGTGATCATTGAATTATCAATAAAGAATGTAGAGAGTGAGTTTATCATAGAAGTTGTTTGTGCTGCAGAACCACAAAGCAGTAGAATGCAGACATGGGTGGGGGCAGATGGTCTGAAGACAAATTCATTTCAAATCCAATTTAGAGCTTAAATGTTCTTTCCTACAGAAATTAAGAGAAAAACAAAGACAATGTTGTATTAGTGACCACACACAGCCAAGGAGATCTAGATAGAATGTCTCTGTCTCTGAAGCTTAATTGTGGACAGAATCTGGTGAATATCTCCCTCTCAGTTTGCTGTTATACATAATAGATGTAAAGTTAAAATACAATTGGTGTGACAAGTCCAGCGCCTTTTTTTTTTTTTTTTTTTTCCTCCCACTCTTTTCTTGAAGTACTTACACTGCTGGAGGACCTTCATCCTCTAACTCTCCCATCTTGAAGTACTCTACACTTCTGGAGTACAATGCTTCATCCTCTAACTCTCCCATCTGAAATACTCTACACTTCTGGAGTACAATGCTTCATCCTCTAACTCTCCCATCTGAAATACTCTACACTTCTGGAGTACAATGCTTCATCCTCTCCAACTCTCCCTTCTGAAATACTCTACACTGCTGAAGCACTCTGCTCCTTTTTGCTAACTCTCCTCTCCTGAAATACCCTGCACCGATGGAAGACATTGCTCCTATCTCTATATAACTTTCCTCTCTTGAGAGATACTCTGGACAGCTGGAGGACTTTTCTCCTTCCTTTAACTCTCCTCTCCTGAATAATTCTGCAATGTTGGAGGACTCTACTCCTTCCTCCATCTAACTCTCCTCTCCTGAAATACTCTGCTCTACTCTGGGATTCTGTTCCTTCCCCCGTCTAAGGCTGGGTACACACAGAGCGAGTATCGGCCTGTATCTGCTGGTTCAACAGAAATCGGTCAACATTCGGTCAGCGTGTACAGATGTCTTTTTGACAGAAGTTGGTCAATCAGCTTTTGTCTAAGGGACATGCTGGAAAACCAGTATCCAATCAGCACTGGCAGACAATGGCTGTGAGCACTTATCAGTGTGTTCTGGCAGGGTGGGGGCAGTCCCCCTGTCAGAATACAAAGACACAGTGGGGAGATTGCTACACTAGCATTGCTTGTGTTAGTAAGGCAATCTGTCAGGTTTTTTTCATTCAGCCCACTGGGTTGAACGGAAAAGAACTTGACGTGGGTACCGAGCCTCATTCTCCTCTTCTGAAATAGTCTGCTCCTTCCCTTATCCTAGATATCCCTTAAATATTAGTAAATATAATTATGTCTATATCCCAGGTCTCATAGACTCAGGGCTCTCTGTTGTCTGGCAGTACTTGGTGGGTCTTGGGGGTAGCGTCAGCTATCCTGTATGGGGCCTGGTCTCTTCTCTCTCTTCTCCTAGCTGGCTTTCAGCTGCTACAGGGGAAGCTGCAGGGGGATCACTTCCAGTAATTGTACCCCCCCTTCCCGCCTCTCTGATCATCCCCCCGTCACCTCGATCTGACTTCCGTCTCCCACCTCCGTCAGCTCTGATCCCCCTTTGTGCCCCCCCAAACAGCACTGCTGGCTTCTTTTTCTGTCCCTCCCACTGGCTTTCAGTTGCTGCAGGGCACAGGGGTATCGGGGTCAGGCTGGAGAGCAGGGGACAGGTAAACATATTGCATGTTTACCGGCCCTTCATTTCCTGTATGAGCACAGTGAGCGATCATTACCAATTGCTCCTGTGTTCATTCATAAGTAAAGCACAGTAAACTGTGTTTACTATGCTTCAGTTTGTGAATGAGCAGAAAGCCTCTTTACATAACGTTTCCTGTTTATTCATTCTGTAGTGCAGCTTAGGCTGCAGAGAAAGGGATTGAGGAATCTGCGCCTTAGTCACTTAAAAGTTAAACATCAGGGGTCTGTATAGACCGCTGAGGTTTCATCAATGCTCCTATCTGCTCTCCAAAGAGTAAAAAATATAAACAAAACTTAAAAAAATAATTAAAAATACACATAATTATCGGCTCATTCACACAGTTACTCTGGCTGTGTGAGTGAGTGGTTTGTTCATGCTGTTGGAGCTGCCTGTTACTCCATGGGCATGCAGCAGCTGTAAAAACACAGCCGCAGGTCCTAATTTGATGGGTGTGCAGGTGTGGGCGAGTGGCCCCAATTACACAGTGTCTGTGTTTGGGGTCATACACCTGCACCCACATGCCTGTCAAATTAGGACCTGTCTGTGTTTGTACAGCTGCTGCATCTCCATAGCAAAACATAGGCTGCCTGCACACTGCTCCAACCACATAAACAAAGCACTCATTCACACCGTACAGGCCTGTTGAAGGTGCCCCAAGACCTTATTCACACACACATTAATATTATCAACTCAGTACAGTTTTATCTTTTAGATTTAGCAGGGATTTGTAAGTTTTATGTTTGTGTACACTAATAATAATTCAGTGTATCTTTTGTGGACTTATATTTTTGATCTTTTCTGGAGGGGGGGAAGCTGTCAGGTAGGCTGCACAGGACCCTATGATTTCTAACAGCAGCCCTGCTTTTACACCTACAGCATAGGAACTGGTGTGTGTGTGTGGACAGATATATTTATCTCTTCCTCAGATGCTGCCATGACAGGAGGAGAGGTGAAATACACTCCCCTTTTGCTAGAAATCCTCATATCATCTTCCTACACAACTGCTGATCTCTCACATTTTATTGAGTTCATACTGGAGCCCCTTGGTGTTAGTTTCTTCAGCTTGGCGGATTTATGGCTAACGTGACAACTGGTGGTCCCCTGGGCCCCATTCATAAAAAAATGTCACCAAGCAGGTGGTACAGCCAGTGATGGCACATTGGAGGAATCAGCTGATGAAGGGAGAATACAGTATACAAATGGGCTGATTTACAAAATGAGTTGAAAAAATCTTCACACAATAAACTGTGAATATTCTCTTTAACTATCCAATCATGTGAAACACATACTCAAGCTCACTTAGGAAGTGGTGATTAAAGATGAAATAAGCAAACAAAAATTTGATTTTGATATTAATAAATTAAAGGAAATATTCACGCAATTTATTGTATGAAGATTCTCCATTTGTTTAGTAACTCAGCATCAAAATCTGCAAATGATTTGTTAACCTGAATTATTTTCAGTAACCTTCACATTCTGTTTTTGTATTGCCAGTAATTACAATAACTTAATTAATTGCTTTGTAACTTTGCAGAACTAGAACTGGCTACTCCACCCCTAGATGGAATCATTCTTCCTGGAGTTACAAGACATAGTATACTTGACCTCGCCACCAAATGGGTGAGTACTTGTCTGTATGAAATAGTACCAGGACAAAGTCCTCTGGTTCCCAAGGCAAGGCTGCCAAAGTACAATCAGTGGGAATAAACATGGCCTCAGGGTTGGTAGTCAGTAGAAGGATGAGTAGTGCCCCATGATTGGTATTAATGGAAAGAATATCAGTGGAAGATATAGGGCCTCATTGTTGGTGTCTGTGGGAAGAATAGAGAACAACCTCAACCCCACTGACACACCAAGTTAAGCAAATGAATACTTCACTGCTACTGAGAACACAAATACAGATACCCTGCACACAACTAAGGTTCAGTCTCAAAAAGAAAACATCAGATTGGTTAGTGGTGAATTAACCCAAAATACATATTTTCATGGGTTGCATTAAATAGCAATATGCACATAAATAAGCAAGTAACGGATTAGGTCAATCACAATTCACTAAGCAATATGTTCACTAGGCCATAGCAGTATAGAATGGAGTTCTATGCAGCTGAATTAGAGAAAACCTGGTAAGCCACAAAATCAGCAATAGGTAATGGCATTAGAATGCTGCAATAACTCCTCTGTAACAGTAGGCTTTCTCCACTTTAGAGTGCACTCTATATTCTGTAAATGGCAGTGTTGAAATGTAAGACTCCCTGAAGAGGTATCTCTTACTATGGACAATCGGTAAAACTCTTGTGAAGCAGCTATATGAGTAGGCAGTCTTTAGCCCCTGTTCTTCAACCAGCTAGCATTGGGGCCCTGTCTTTACTGTGGTGCACATGAGTACAGTCCCAGTAAAGTCTGCATGCAGTAAATAATGCTGCTAGTTAGATGGTTGGTTATGTGCTCAGTCTCTGGTATCAGCATCAGGTTAATAGCAGCAGTTTCCTCTCACCAGTCCCAGTGATACAGCAACAAGGGACCCACTGTTCAGATGTTGGCTCACTTCTGGATCTGCCTGGAATGAATCCGGTCCTCTGTGCTTGCCTCCAGGTTTGTAGCAGGTTGATGTGCACACAAGAGCAGTGACGTGCACACCTCGGTCTCCTCACAGAAAAAAGAAAATTCCTCTGTATTCAGCCTGTGGTAATGCAACTCTCCCTCCCCTTATACCCAACTTGAATTGGGAATTGTAGTCCAATGGTCCATAGTAAAGTTTTGTTTTTCGAACTTATATCTCCCATGATTCAGTGCTACCAAGCATCAAGTCTCTTGAGTGCCTTCTGCTTGTCAGCTCCCCCTGGTGGAAGGAGTTGGGTTAGTGTTAACCCATTCTGCTGAAGTCTATTGGGAGCCCAGAGAGCACTGCAGCACAGTGTCCTAAATTACTCTCTCTTTCTAGCCAAACACCTGACTACATTAGACAGGTCTAAAGCTAGGGGTTCACTTTTATTTTAAAGTGGACATCCCCTTTAAGAAATGTAAGAATGTAAAGAAACAAAAATGATCCAAAAGCCAGAGACCATCAAGCAGGTTTATTCAGAAAATGAAGAGATGGGAGTCCAAAAGTTAATGCATCCACATATGATATGTTTTTTGCCTTTTCACAGCGTGAGTTTAAGGTGTCTGAGCGTTACATCACCATGAATGAATTGTTAACAGCATTGAAAGAAAACCGGGTGAAGGAAATGTTTGGATCTGGCACAGCTTGTGTGGTTTGTCCAGTTGGAACAATACAGTACAAGGACAAGGTGAGACTGAGCTGTCTGCGCTCACTGCATGCTGACAGAGAATCAGCGATCAATATAATCAATCTGTCTGATAATACGGATGCTGATCGTCTTGCCACATTGTAGAACATCTCAATCTGTGAGCACACATGAGCTATTATTTCATGAGAAACAGAAAAAAAAGTAGTTTTATGTATTTTTTTAGTTTAATTTTATTGCTAAATTTTTATGTAATATCTAGTATTTCAACAGTTTTCTGGAAGCCCCAAAAATGGAATGGATGTGGATAAAAAAATTTTTTTTTATTGTTTTTTAAAATCCTTTTTTAAAAACCATTATAAACAAAAACAGTTGGCCAAACTTGCTGCATAATGTTTTAATAAAAAAGCAGAGAGCAAACGAGTGCAAGGAAAATGCTGTAGCTAAACAAAATAGTAAGGATCTGCTAATTTCTTTTAATCAGCTTGTTTTGCAATTATTAAAAGAAGAATATAAATTAGAAAAAAGACCAACACTTTTATATACCGTTACCTTGTTGGTGATTTGAAATATTTTCGTTTGTAGTTGTAACTATTTTTTTAATCCTTGAATTTTGGGTTTCCACAGAATTTACATATCCCAACCATGGAGAATGGACCTAAGATTGCTGCTCGTCTTTTGAAAGAGATGGTCGATATCCAGGTGAGTTATTACATCCTTTGCCCCTGTTTGGAGGCAGGAACACTTCTCCTGCTTTGTATGTTTACATTTTCACGTATATTTATAAGGAAAGGAGCAATTTTGCAATCACAATTCATTTATAAGGACTGATTTAAAGCTGAACTGTAATGTTAGCATATAATACTTTCCATTGTTCTTCTCTTCCCCTCAATCAGCATGCAATTACATTTTTTTTTTTAACCCAAAATGTTCTTGTTTGCAAATTATACCTGTTTTTAGACCCAGTGAGAGCATGACTGCATCGCTCTGCTGGTCTTTGCTTTCATTAAGATCATGTTTGGTGGGAATGGCCAGAAGAGTTTAGCTCATGCATTATATGAAAAAACACATATCCCTTTAGATGTGCATGATCCTCCCTGCTGGACATGATTGGTGGGTGCAGACTTTACCTGTACAATCTGCTACTCAGTTTGATTACAGTCTATACATTTAAGTTTACTGATTAGCTTAGCAGATTGCATGACTAAAGTCTGCATCAAAGTGTATAGTACTGGTCAATTATATTAAATATAAACGGTGCTTATTCCAACTCATAGAACAAGAATGGACATACATTTTAGAAAACAAGGACTTTGCAAGCACCAAAATATTATTGTGCTGTACTCTACTGTTCTCTCCTGAAGAAGATTCAAAATATAAATCTTATGAATTGAAACATGTTGGCATTTTTCTTCTTGGTGATATGCAGCAAACCATCGCCATTTTGCGCAATGCTATGTATAATGTATCTCTCCTTTTTTGTTTTTAAAATTGGATTTATTAAAATGGTGTTTTTATATATTTCTTTTGTTGTAATATTTGGTGCTTGCAAAGTCCCTGTTTTCTAAAATGTATGTCCATTCTTGTTCTAAAGTCTGCATCACCCATTGGCCAGCTGTGGGGGGGGGGGGGGGCAGCATGCACTTCTAAAGGGATGCTGGGGATGTGTTCTTCATACAACAATCAGAGCAGAGGACCAATAGATTGATGGCAGAGAAAACAAATAGCTGTAAGAGGTGGTCCAGGGACTATACAGATCAGGAGGGGATGGCTCCATGATGCTTAAAGTTATTAGGACTGGAAATAGGGTGGACTCAAGATATCTGCTGCAGCTTCTAATGCTTGTGTTGTGAAGATGACTGTGTGCAGGGGAAGTGGACTAAACAGTTTTAGAACAAGAGATGACTCTTTACATGACTGCAAAAGGAAAGGTAAGGCTGGAGTTCTGCTTTCAGCTAATATCTGGCAAAAGTTTGTTTAGAACCATAGCTTGCATCCCCAGTAAGGTGTGTATTCAGTGCTCGCAGGTTGAAGCTGAAGGAGGCAAGGGTCACCAATGCATGGGTGTCTGGATCATATTTAGCAGTGTCAGCCTGCATCATTTAATGTGCTGTTGAGTGACCATGTGATCAGAACCATGCTGATTGCTTCCTGGTCATTTGTGGAGATTGGACCCATCAGCCACTACTTGATCTGATAGCTAGCAGCCTGCACCTGTGCATGCTGCTAGTTGTCAAATGGGAAAGGTAGAATGACACCCAACCCCAAGACACTGTGTTAAGGAGCATTAGTGTACAGATTACAGTTGGGAAATGGGTTGAAAGGAAATGCAAATTTTTTTGGGGGGGGATTAATTTCACATATTAATTTTGTTCATGTTTTGTGATATATAAATTACATTTTGTGTTGGCTTTTCACTGTCATATTCTTGGTTTGGCTTCTTCTTTTTTTTATTTATAAGTTCACATTCAATGTATTTTATGATTCCAGTATGGAAGGACGGAGAGTTCCTGGGCCATAATGGTGGACAGCTCCTAGACATCCTTTTGAATCGTGAACACAAAAGAACACAAGACATACAAGTAGAGCCTGCTGTATAGTATTGCCTGGTGTATTGTGGGTGTCAGTGTTCCTGTCTATGGGTTTAGTTTATAGATACCATTTCTAGTTCTATAAATCAGTGAAACACAATAAGCACTTTTCACAATCATATCTTGAATGAGATGTCTCTTACTGATGTGCACAATGTATCGATTGTAAATTATCCTCCAATGCACCATTATCAGGACACAATGTGAAGGCTCTTCACTCTGTGCTTGCTTTAATGTGGATTAATCAGGGTTCTAGGCACTAGGTGATCTGTTTTATTATGTTGTGGTGAGATGCACATATAAATGTGAACAGGTTTGTAAATGAAGTAGCCAAAAGAAATTTTAATTAGTGTGTTTTACACTTTAAATTCTCCCGGAGCAATATCTAATGAAGCACAAGGTTTGTGAAGCACAAAGAGATGCCGAAGATCCTACTCTGTCACGTCGGCTGTATAGCCTTTGTATCTTCATATGAAATTAATGGCACTACAATTTAGAAATGACTAGACGTATTTCAGTAATAGCCAGCGGACCCCAGTATTACCCCATTCCTTCAGTAGAAATAAAGCAATATATCTATTATTTAGGAGAGCTGGTACCTGCTATAACTGAGGCTCCCGTCCAGCCATTGCCCAGTTCCAGGAGGTGGTGCTTAGCCAGGGCTGGGTCAAGGTGTAGGCAGAAGAGGCGGTTACCTTAGGTACTTAAACAGGAGAGGAGCACAAAAAGGGCAGGACTTGCATTCTAGGCATCTGAAATAGTTTACAGATCCTGGGATCGGGTGAGTAGAGGGGGGTGGGGACACTTTGGCCTTTTGCCTTGGGTGCTAAATTACCTTGTCCTAAGCATGATGCTTAGAGATAAGTGGAAAAGATTTAGCTGTGAAATGTCTGATTTTGCCAATTAATTTTCACCAAGCTTTTAATTTTCAGTTTTCCTCACTGAGCTGCTTAGGAGATATTTACTCTTTATATTTTATTTAGAGCCGTTTTTGTAGGTAGCTTGGCATATCTCATTTTAGTGTTTTGCATTTCTTCCCCTTTTTATGTGTTTTCTTTGTATTTCTGAACTGTCTTTTTTTGGCTTCATGTTTTTCATTTTGTGAAAGAAAAAATAAATTAAATAACAAGGCTAAAGCCATTTTTTTTTTGGCACAAGAATGGACCAGAATAGATAAGAGGAGCTTTTGGAACACCTTGGAGACATTTAAAGCCTCATGCACCTTAATGAGCCAGCTTTATTCTGCCTACTTCTTTGACCATTTCTCCAAAATGGTAACATTTTGCTGAAATCTTCTGATTTTCACTGACTGGTGAAAAGGAAAACTCTTGATCTTGCTCATCCCTAGTGGTGGCATTTCTGCTGCGGCACATGACAGGCCTGGCCCGGTAGTAGCACCGCTTCAGGAGGTCATGTGCTGGCATTGGATTTTTGCTGTAACATTGTTCTAACATGTTACCTTCAGGGGAGCAGTAAACTTAAAAATAATGAGTAATTATGTAAATAATAAAAGAAAAGTTCCCAAAAGCCCAAGTTTCTGACTTTTTTCCAAAAACGTGATGCATCGAACCACATGGCTGCAGCACCATGCAGTTTGGCATGCATGAAAATGCATGTTTTCAGATGTGTGGGGGTGCCATTAACTTCATTTTACATAATTTCACAAATGATCTCAGAAACTTCCTCATGTGATCATTTGCTTGTTGCAGCCTGGTTGCTGTTGCATCATACAATGGTCATTTGACCCCCAACTACTTTTTCCGTTTGGCAGCTTTTCTTCTTGATTACTTTTTGTTAACAAATCTTTAAAGAAAGCCTATTGAAATAAAAATATGGGAGATACTGTTGCCGGCTGTTTTTTTTTTATCATCATGGTCATCAACTTTAATACTTCATGAGTCACTGACTCGGCACAAACATGCAACAAAAGTAGGACATCATGGTAGGGAGGGGAAGGGAGTATACCTGTTGCAGGTCACTGTCTCTTTATAGTTGATTTACTAAAAGCAGTAGACTGTTCACTTTGCAAGGGAAATGGCACTTTTCATGGGATTTTACCCAGAGTTTAGGGAATCAGGTGAAACTCAGCTGACTTCCATCATTCAATCATAAGCAAGCAAAATTGCTGTTTCTTTTATTTTCCTTGCACCTGATTTGGTATTCTTTGTGAAGTGCATTCACTAAGCTGTGGGAAAAATCCCTTACAAAATGTAACTTCCCTTGCAAAATGAACAGTCGATTTGCCTTTAGTAAATCAACCCCAATGACTAGTTCTAGTAAAGCTAGGACAAGATTGACAGCCCTGGGATTTATTTCTTTTTTAAACATGTCAGCAATGGCAGTTCCCATGTGTCTGCCCTGACAGGTCTCATTAAATGTTTTTAGAAGGTCATTGGCTCGTATAATAACTTTATGTTGTACTTGAAAATCTAAAATGATTTCATTTAATTCTATCCAGTTCTTTACAATAAAACCTTGCCATTGCTCTCTGACACTTGAAAATGTGCCATCTGTGCTATTCTCAATGATAAATGAAGATATTATATTCTGTTATTGCATGAGTAGTAAAGTTGTGTTGTCTCACCAGACTTCCATTGTTATTAATTCTAGAGTATTTAATATTTTGTGATCTTGAACCCTTAGACAACCCTTAGACAACATGGCTGTGAAGGTGACTCCCTCCCTTTGAAGCATATTGATAACCCCAGATTTATCGGATGATATGCTATGGTGCAGGATGAGCCTATGGGCAATTTCTGTGAGTATAGAAATATCTAGAGATGATTTACTAAAGGAAAATAGACTGTGCACTATGAAAGTGAAGTTGCTCCAGAGCTTAGTAAATAAGGTAAAGCTCCAATCAGGGTGCAAGGAAAATGTAAAAATAAAAAACAGCATTTTTTGCTTGCACATGATTGGATGATGGAAGTCAGCAGCGCTTCCCCTTATTTAATCTGCTCTGGAGCAACTACACGTCCAAAGTGCACAGTCTATTTGCTCCACTGTGCAGCATTTCTGGTATTTGGTATGATATCCGGTAAATCCAAGTTGGGTTGATTCCACAATGAACCTTGTCTTGGTCTCTGAGATGTTCTGTATAATATGTATTATTTTTTTCATGGTATGCAGTGTAAGGGTGTTGCTGATGTACAGATGTTTGTAAAAAGGTTAATTTAGGGGGATATTATCCTATGGTGGCTCCACATCGTGCTGTAAGGCTGTCCATAAACCGGTCACTGGGAGCCGCCATGTTCTAGCCACAGGACACAACTCAGCCAGTGCACATGCCATAATATTTTTGCTTCTTTTTTTTTTTGTAGAGAAGGGCATCTGAAATTAAATTACTAGCCCCTCTGAGAGTCCAGGTGCTCAATTTCACTGCCATTATAATGCAGCATTTGCATGATCCTCCCCGTAATGGTTACCTCTGGGCCTGGTGTGTATTTAGGTCCACGATAGATGGAGAGGTACCTACCAGAGAGCAACAACAGAGAGATAACTATGTGTCATGGGGTCCCATACTGCAACCATTAAGGCCCCCCACGTCTCTAAATCTAAAAACTTGATAGGAAATAGTAATTACTTTCTTACCAAATGTATAGGTTCCCAAACTATACATACAATAATTGTATCCAAAATGATTTGCCAAAGACTATTGATAACTGAAAAGATGACTATTCTGCTGTGGTTTATGTGCTGGGCCCCATAACACTTGCTTGGTCTGCTGGGGCTATAGATACACCCTTGGGTGGGAGTATACTTATATGTTTGCTGCTATGATCCTCACCCCACCCACGAGAATGTGATTCCATCCTTTGCTCCATAGAAAATAAAGAGTTGTGCATATTTGTGGGGACATTTTCTGTGATAACCATCACTGGAGGTGATCAGAAACTGATAGTCACAAGCGATGCTCACAATCAGGAGTATTGATTGTAATTATTTATTACAGGTACTTATATAGCACTGTCAATTTACATATATATATTATACATTCACATCACTCTCTGCCCTCAAGGAGCTTACAATCTAAGTTTTCTAACTCACATTCATACATACACATACTAGGGTCAATTAACCTACCAGCATGTCTTTAAAGTGTGGGAGGAAACACACACGGGGGCAGGGAGAACATACAAACTCCAGGCAGGTAGTGCTGTGGTTGGGATTTGAACCAATGATCCTAGGGCTGCTAGGCAGAAGTGCTAACCACTTAGCCACTGTGCTACCTAAGTGTCAGTTTATGGCCTGTCTAAACTTTTCTAGAACTACCTACAATGTTTTTTTTTTTTTCAAACCAGCCCATACATTCAGGAAAAATCCAGTATGGCTGAAATTCACCCAGCTCTATATTTTCAGATGCGTCTGAGCTGACATTTCTACAAAGCACATTGTGGCCATTGCAATGTATACCGATACACTTTTCTAAACAGTTACAGGTCTATCAAAAGACCAAAGCCACAATATTTCCGTCACCGGTGATGGTGTTCATTTGCGAACTCCCCACTGTTTCTCCTCCATGTAGTTTAATATTCAGGATTGGCAGCTGTAGGGGTTGCAGTTGTCTGTTCTCTGCCAGCAATAATACCAATTGATCTGTACTGAATTATCCATTTATTATATTGTAAAGCGCTGAGCAAACTGTTGCCGCTATATAAATCTGTATAATAATAATAATAATCCAGTTATTTCATTATAATCAGACCAGTGGCTGATGATTACTACATGAAGTGTTTGTCTCAACACTCCAGATATTTTGTGTTCATTTGTGGGTTTATGTATCTCTGAATAAACAGTGTTTAATAATCATGATTTCCCAGTAGTTTTTATTTTAAATTATTTTTAATCAAACTATTTTTATTTTAGTTTTTACATAGAAATAAATAAGACACAATTACTATATAAAGCATACAAACATATACATAGCCAGAAAAGGCTTATTTATTT